GTCTCCGTCTGCGAGGGTGACGTGTCCCACGAGCTTCTTCTTGGTTAGAAAACGGCGCACGATCAAGATCCCAGGTGGATCCATTCTACCGCCACGAAAACCACGGCCGTACACGACATCCACTGCGTCGGCAGTGGAGGACAGATTCCGCGGTGGAGATCCAGACGGGAAACCCGGTGGAAAGATTGGAGAGACACGTCAAGGTATTTATGTGATTTCCATTTCTGTTTGTTGCTTTTATTATATCGATTAGATGGAGTTGACAAAGGGTCTATTGATCTCAAAGTGTCGTCGTTGTGCTTTTTGAACATAGATTTTTACGTTCATATCCGTTGTGAACAGAAGATTCGTGAGATTTTGTAAAGTATCAAATTTATGCGAGTTTTATTTTTGGTTTTTGATAATATTGGAAATTACGAAGGTTAGAAAGAAGATGTTTTTGAATTCTTTTTAACCTCTTGAAAGGCGGGAAGGATAATTTGTTTTTGTGTGTCGTTTAAAGTATAAAAACGATATTTCAAGAGAATTTGAATTTGTTAAATAAAAATTATGTATACAAATTGTGATATTTTAAAAAAAAAAATTGACAACCCTTCGAATGTATTTCATTCAAATACATTCAATAATATCAAGTAAAATAGAGAATATTGAAATATTTTAAAATGTTTGAAACATAATGTATGATGATTATATCTTTGTATTTTTTGAAATCATTTTTTATGTAAATACATATATGTTAATATTGTATAAGAGGTTAATATAGTTGTTCTTAACCTTTTAATTATTAGAGAACGGTTTTGATTATAAAATAAATTTACAAAATACGAAAATTCGAAGAATTGTATTAAATAAAAATCGAAATTGAACGTAACAAAGTGCAAATATATCTGAAAGAAATAAAAATGCCAAAATTTGTGCATAACTGTTTCCTAGGGAACGTGAAAGTCATGCCTTTAGGTAGAAAGTTTCGAAATGAAGATAAAAAAGAGCGAAAACACTTCAACTATTAAGGTACATGCATGACATAGTTTTACAGCTTTGATCGAGCACTGGCCTTGGTTCAAAATATTTAAGCAGATACGTAGTAAAGTTACTTTATGGATATGCATGTCACTTGCAAAGATATAATAAAAGCAAAAGTTTGAAAAAACCATCTCTAGACATAATGATTGAATATCGAAAATAATGTGTAATAAATTTCTCTGATAAATTTATTGTGTAAAATAATTGTAAATAGCATTATTCCATAGGCTACATTTAAATATTTTTTTAAACATTCAGATTTGAAGAATATCTGAATGACTTTTTAATAAGGTTTTATAATTATCTAAAGGAATAATATTTTTTCTCGAATGATATTTTATTTATTTTATTTTAAGATCTAGATTATCTAAAGGAATAATATTTTTTCTCGAATGATATTTTATTTATTTTATTTTAAGATTATAAATAATTTTAAAATTTTAACATAATTAACACAAATATAAATACAGTATTAAACAATTATTTATTACATTTGTTATTACACATTTGGTAAAAATGAATCTTCATTCACACAAAAATTTGATTCATCTTTTTTCTTTTTAGATATATAAAAATTCATAATATATAATATAAATTCATATATACATATAAATATCTAAACGCACCATTAAGCTTTCCATCTCATTGACGAACTAAATATTTCACAACAGGTATTCTACTGTTTCCTTTCACTTCTTCACCCACTTCTCTCCTCCATCCTATATTGCAATTGCTCCCCTCGATATCCTCTACATTTCGAAGCATTCGATCCATTTTGTTCAACATAAACATTACCTAAGTACATACTGGTAATCTCAGTAACCCCGTTCTCATGATCAAAGCCACAGAATCGTGTGCCACGATACCATAAGTGGTGTACCTCTAATAAAACACGAAACTGGCCTCTAAGGTTCCCCAAGCACACGTATTTACCCCCTCCTCCGTTTCCATTTTCCATCGTCGGAACGTTAAAAGCCGGCACGATAATGGAAATACCGGACGTTGATGTATCTTAATAAGATAACACCGTTTATGCTCGTTATTTATTGCCTATTAATCGGCATGGAACCAAAGGACCATAGGCGTGTGCACCATTTAAGGTGTTCCCCTCGAGGCGGCTTCGAGAGGATCGCCGACGTCGCCTCGAAGTCACGTCGTCGTTTCGAGCGCCGATATATCAACCGATCAAGGAAGCCTCGAGACGTTTCGCTTCGCAATTTACCAGCCGCACCGTATTTTTTCACGCGTCGCTATCGAGACGTGTCTCACGGTAGCCTTGACATCGGCCCGCCGCCTTTATCTCGAATGTATCTACTCGCTGCTACTTGACCTCCCCGTATTTTCAGCTTTCCCTTCGATCCGATATCTCGAATCTTCCACCCTCCGATAGAAAGGAAGGTGTCCACTGCAATCGCCCTTCTCTTTCTTCTTTTCTTCTCGTTTCTTGCTTTTTCTACTTCGTTCTTTGGCAATTCTGGAACAGATGTTCACGATTGTTCTTCGCCGAAGAGCAATGAAGGTAGGTATTCGGAAGAAGATCGTAGGGAGAAGATGGTAGGTTTTAGGAATGGAGGTTTTTACGAGCCTTGAGAGAAATTGAATTTGAAGGGACGATGGTTTTCAACTCCGCCTTTGCGGTTTATGGCATCTCCGTTTCGTGTTTACAGTCGATACTTTTGATTAAAGCGGAAGCAACAGTAATACTTCGTTTCCAATTTTGTTTTTCTTATCTTATATCTTCTTGAATTTTCGTTGATTGAAGTTTTTTTTAAAAAGATTATTAAGGAATCTTTGACTGTAATTGTTTTGAGATATGTTAATTAAATTAAATAATATTAATACTTATAGTTATAATGATATTCTTTAATTTAATTTTTATAATCTTAATCTTTAAGAATGTGATTTGTACCACGTAAAAACTTTCAAATTGATTATTTTAACTTTAAATGTTTTTTTTATTAGCAAAATATAATAAAAAATATTATATTTATGTATATAAATGAAATAATTGAAATTGATTTTTATACAGCAAAGATAAAGGCAAACGATTCATAAAGCATTTAGCTTAAAATTTAAAAATAATCACATATTTTACGGTTATCGCACTTAAATTTTGCATATTCAATTATACATGTACAGATTATGCACGCGAAGTTTTCTTTCCACTGCACTATTCCACCTACAGTCATTTCCAGTTAATCGCTACATGTTTTACACGTGCTTGAACACATAACTGAACACAGTGTACTGATATGTATTCCAGTTGTCCTCCGCATTCTTTATCTCTCGTATTTTCTTAATCCACGAATTATTCTTTTTATCATTCATGCTCCATCTACGTTCATTTTCAATTAACCACGGCACATTTAATAAATTAACGATCGAGCTACGAATTTAATCGTCGTTTGTATCCTTCATGTCTTTAATGTTGCTACATATTAATTTATTCTTGGACCTCGACATTCTTTTTCGAATTTTTTTTTTACCTTTTTCGTTCCATTCATTCCTTTTTCCAATAACTTGAAATACAAATATACTACAAATGCGGCATTATGAATTATTTTACACTTTATTTAGATTCGAAAACATTCAAATTTTTTCAATCTATTTAAAAATCGTTAACACATATTTAAGATACCTCTATACAGATATTTATACGAATTATCAACCAAGAAATTTATTTTTATTCTCATTTCATTCAATTTTATTTCCATATTACATATCAATACTCCTAGTACTCTTTATTCACCCTGTCATCCACAGCGTTCTAGTACTCTATTAGATTCAGACCACATATAAGTTACCTGGCACATTGGTGTATGTTAATTTATATCCTGGCCTCGGACATTGCGTTTTTCAAATTTTCCCTCGCTCGTTTCCCTCGACTGTTCCAGACACGTGATATATCTTAGCCTCGCGTAGGCAGTAGGTAGTCACAAAAGCTCCCGATCCAGGCTGTCCTCCGCATCGCCTCGGTTCTTTATGGTCGACCCTTTTCCCGCTCTGAAAGACCGAACTCGTTACGCGGCCGTGTAACGAAACGCAGCCGCTCTTTCATCGCCGTCGACCACTATTTGTCAAGTTCTCCTCGTTGGAAAGGCCATTAACGTTCCTCCTTTTCCTTTCGCAATGCCGGCCCTTTGTTCTTATCTACTTGACTATAACAATAAGAAGTATCTAGTCATATTTAGCCAGTTCGCATTACTAATTCTTATCGACTAGCAACTTTCTTGGTGACTGGTCACTTTCAGCTTTTTAGCTCGTGACACAATGTCTCCTTTTAAATGATGTGATCTCTAAAACTTGTTCCATGTCCTGAAGAATTCTTTTCGACGATATATTACCGTTCCTTTTTTTTACATAATGGAAAACAACGCCTTCGATAAATTAAACTTTTTCACCATGCATTCCATTTATGTCACTCGATTGTGAAACAAAGTTTCCATTGAATCGTTTTTCTCTACGTTGAAATTGAATTTTTATAGATCAACAAATCGATCTAGTTTTTTCGGATATAGATTGACTGGTTTATATTTGTTGCAGGCAGAATTATAGTTTCCTTTGATTTTTATAAAGTTTGTTTATAAACCTTGTTCTTCTTAAAAATATTATTATCTTTAATTGCATTGAACTGTTACAAAAATTAATTCAAAATTTCAAATATCTAATTTTAATAATCAGAAAATTTAATTCTAAAATAAATTCTTCTTAAATTTTTACTTTTGACGAGATTCGGATCATGAGTCATTTAAATAATATTAATACATAATAATATAATGTAAAGATGATAAAATAAATTACTGTCATTGTAACTAAAATATCCTGTTAATGAACTATAATTTTTAAATTAGTTCTTTAACATGGGATATTTTATTTACTCTTTACACTTATTTCAATTCAATCTGTTTAACCAAAACACGTCTTTTTATAGCAGGTTCAACTACCGTTTGCATTAAGTCACCATTCACGGCCATTCTATGTTTCGGCCAGTCGATCGACCCCTAAGTTTCAGGCAGCGCGCCAGCAACTGGATCTATAAGGTCAGTCTTAACGTAAAAACGCGCGGTGGCTGGCTAATGCGGAATTCTCTATGGCAATGGTCTTTGCCAAATGGGTCAACCGTGTGTGTGTGTGTACATATGTGTATACGTGTGTGTGTAGAAGGAAAAGAAACGAAGGGAAAACATGGTAAAACCTTACGTGGACAACGATTTCATTCGAGGAAGTCGTGGAACTCGGCCTATTGTCGCGATCTATACCATTTCCTCTAAACGAATTATCGTGGATTTAGCAGTGGATAGCCTTGAAGAAGCACGAGGGTCATAGAATCGATCTATTCGTATTCTTCTTTCTCTTTCTCTTCTTCTCGTAACTTTGCTATTTCTATCTCGACTCTCTTTCTCTCGGTATATTTTTTTTTCTTTTTCATCTTGGTCGGAAATTGTTGATTTGAGAGAAAATAAGAATGATCAGAGGAGAGAAACGAAAGGTATTGACCTTTACTCCTTTAGTTCTCTTTGCAGTGATCAATCGAAGAGTATATATGAACATATGATTCAGGTTAAAAGAGTATTTAATCGTATGTCACAATTCTTTTCATATCAAAATTTATTTTTATTTTTTATAAAATATTAATATAATTTACAAAGAAAAAGTATTTTCAAAATATACTTTCATGTTTTTATTTTAGCAATTGAAAAAAAAATAGAAAAGCCTTTAATTTTTTGGTAAATTAACTTGGTAAATTAATCTAATATTTTTATTTATATTATAATTCATAATTCTACCATGTATTATTTTCCATCTTAAAAATGAAAGAAACACACATATCAAATTAATGTCTGATTACTTTCTCTTTCTTTGTTCTTCTATAGAAATAGCAAAGAGTACGAATTGATTACAATTGACGAAAAGTCTTGGCACAGAGATCCTTAAAAAAGCAGAAAGAGTTTCTCTCTCTCACAAGAATGTTTTCGAAACCTCGACGGTTGCAATTTATTCACTAATTGCTGTGCAGCCTGCTGATGTACCAGTAATTTGATTAACGAAAAATTGCGACCCGTCAAATGTTTTTCATTCGGTTTTCATGGTCGGTTCGGCACTCCCTTCGTTATCGCTCGAATAAATCCGTGACTTCAATTAACGTCGTACACGCCCACGCATCCACTGCTTCTTAATTGGCAAATGATTTTTTGCTACGGAGAATGCCAGCTTGAGCTTAACCCGTAATTCAACATTTTCAGTGGGAATTTTCCATTTATCACGTCCATATAGCAGAAAATTGGTAAAATTTGAGAGAATTGAAAAATTGATTTGATGAAAGTGAATGCTGATTGTGTTGAATAAAAATTCGAATTAATATTAATTGGAATTAATATGTAAATTGGAACAGTAAAATATATAATATAGATAGAAATTCTTCATTTTTTTTAAAGAGCTTTTAAAGAGTTTTTATATTTTTTTTATTATGATATATTTTAGTGTAATTGGAATTTCCGGATATAGAATTTGTCCATTGTAAAATATATCACAATATCCTACCAGGAATACTTTTAGAGATTTACTTAAATACTTCTTCAGTCACATTTGGTAAAATATTAGAGCTTGAAACTCGTAAGAATTATATGATCTCGAATTATAAAAATCTCAAATTCTTTACTTATTTTATTTATTTTTATTCGATTATTATAAATAATAAATATCTTCATCGAATTTGCGATTTATGTTAATAATGTCTTTTTCATTTAAATGATTACTTTTATTATTTCAAAACTAATAAAGAATATAGTGAAAAATAGTTAATTTCGGATTTGAATACCAATATGAAAGAGTTCTACAAAATATATTTCTACAAGTTTTAATATTGATTATTGAGCGATTTAATGTTAATCCCAAGAAAATTTTTATTGGTAATCAGAATCAAAATTGGCCAATTTCTAGCACTATTCTTTCTATTTCCCTAGATGTTATTTCTCTGGTCAAGGGAGCCAGCTCCTGGTCCAAGAGCCGGCCCCTGGTTCGCGTGGTTCGCCACAGCCCTGGTTCTCTGGCGTTGTCGACGAAGCGTTGCCAAAGCGATCCTAGCCGTATCACCGTTAAGATTATTGAAGAAACGAAATCTTCTACCGTTAACCGCTTCAAAGGCCTCGTCCACGGCGACGCTCACGAAGCAACATCAAAGACACAGAACGGAAAATTCTATATTGCAACGGAAGCAACGGATAAGAACGAAAGTGAAACGATTGTGCACCGGTGACGGGCCACATGTGACCAGCTCGACGTTTTCGATCCAAAGCCAGCAAATTCATTATAGAATGACCAGAAGCGGCAAAATATACGGGAAATATCCGAACAAGGTCACTACGGTGACCACCGGCCAGGGAAACCATTGAAACGCGACCACTCCATTTTCTCCGATTGTTTAACGCGGACAGCTCTCGTTTTTTGCGCGACCGTGGCCGTTCTCGTGTTAATCGCCGCTGTTTCTCGTGGTCCGAATTTCAACTCGATAAACCACGTGTGCATGTACGAAACGTATCCTGGGTTTGTTGCTATAAAGTCATTTCGTCAAACTCACGTGTATTTTTGTTCGAATGTTTGGCGAGTTGCCGTGTATCGGGGGTCGCTGTAATGGATTTGATGCGGTTGATCAAATTGCTTTTAAAAAGAACGTACATCTTTTGTGAAATACTGTGAAACAAATTGAATCAAAGTGAAAGTTTGAGAATATTTTACCGGGGAACAATTGTAGAAAGTTTACTTTGATTCGGTGTGAAGTGAACCATGGAATTTTTGTAGAGGTTAGTTTCCGATTTAACTGGCACGATGGTTTCGTCTACGAGGGGGTGATTAAATCAATGGGTCGAAAAGTTTTGCATTGAGTTTGATAGAAAGACAAAAGTGCATTTTAACGAAAGAATAAATGCAAAAGTAGGTCAGAAGCAAGTTAAGAAAATTTGTGGGAAGGTAAGTTTTTACAATGGGATATCTCAAATTGCGTTTTTGCTATAATAATATTTCTTTACAAAATTTATATATTAATTTAAAAATAATCAATAATTAATATTAGAAACACAAGAAATTTTCATTTGCACACAATTAATTATCACACAAAACAATCGAAACAAAAATATATAATTTTTTATAGTTATAATATTTTCGGGAAAATATATTAAAACAAATCCAAAATCATTATTATCTGATAAATTTGTGATTAAGATGTAAAATTTTCCTACTTCCAATATCGTTTTATCGACATTTTTTTTTAATTAAGATTTTTATCATCTAACATTGATCATGAAAATAGAGTGTGTTCGATTTAAGTCACATCAAAGGATTTAAGCAATGACTATTAGTCTTCTTGCTTCTTCCTGATGTCCTCGACACACTTTCAAGTGTCGAGGTCGTTTGACAGAGACCTTCGTTGGGGTCACCATTGTATCCAAGATCCACGACGACCGCGAAGCGTCGTTTTGGACTCATGATCTCTCTCTCTCTCTTTCTTTCTCTCTTCCTCCTCCTCCCAAGAGGAGCAGATCAATAAGCGTTAGGTGCGTTCCAACAGCTTAGGATATTCTTCATATCCCGCGATAAGGTTTGCATCTTGCGCAACCGTTCGTTGACTGACCATTCTAGGTCGCTTTACAATTCTGCTTATATGATCTAAACAATATCTACGTAAATGTCTACGTATGTAGATTTTACGTTTTAATATTCGTAATATCATTTTTTATGAAGTTTAGTAAATGAAATTTGACTGATAACAGATGAAGCTTTAAAATTTTAGATAATAATTTATCTATTGAAAAGAAAAATTCAAATTCTGATGAAAAAATTTAAAAATATTTATAAGAAAGAAAATTATTTGTATTAAATTCATAAAATTTTAAATCTTTCTTAAATTATGCCTTAATGCAAAAAAAAAATATTTTTGTTTATTTAATACTTCTGTATAATGTATAAATTACCAATACACAAGACGCAAAATTAAAATAAAATTTTATGACGTTCAATTAATCTTAGGTTTAATGATAAATAAAAGAAATAGTGAAATATAAATGATCATGATCCCAACATTTTAAATTCAAATATTATTCGTATTAAAATAAACATTAATAAACAATTTTTTATTATAATGGATAGATAAATTCCATTATAAATTCCAAGTGATATTTTTTTTAATTAAAAATTATATTTTCTCTTTAGTAAAATGAAGAAGAAAAAAAATAATTTAATAATTTATGAAATTTCATTGCTCACAATTAAAGGAGCATTTAAAGAATCATCTATTTTTTTAGTAATAGCCTCCTTCCATCGATTAGATTTGCGCACAAAAATTTCCTCTAAATCGTTCGACTTCGTTGTATCGTTGCACGTGAGTTGCCACACAGATTCGAGCAACAATGAAACGGTCGCGCAAGTTTCTAATCAGAGATGTACCAATTTGACACAATGGCCACCGGTTTCAGAATGAGCGTATCGCGTTTCAGAATGAAACGTAACTGTGCCAAATTTAATGATTCAACGCCCTATTGCGTCAGTTAACAACGCCATCTGGCCTGATGTGTCCCTGCTGAGTTTCGGGGGATCCCCGAGGAACACTTCTTAACCATGTTCTCGATCGACAGAGATGGAATTATAAATAGAACCCGTGTCTGAGGGTAGACAATGGAGGCATCCGCAGAGTGGATGTATATACATGGAAGCTTCTACAAAAATAGAACGATAACAGGAATTTAAAGAGTTCCATTCGACGGTGCAGTTGCACCCAGCGCATCGTCCTTAGATGCTAATCTTCTGAGGTTGCTTAATGAAAAAAATAAGATTATTTTTATCTATGTACGTATGTTTTAGAAGTGGACATTTATTTTAATTATAACAATTTTATGATTTCGAATGATGTTATGAGGCACGTTTTATATTTAATAAAATATTTTATATTTATATTTAATTAATTTTGTCATATGAGTATTAATTTTTCGATAAAACAAGATTAATAAATATAATTTGTTAAAAGAACATTCCTTCAATGATCTTAATACATCATTTTACATATCCAATTTTTTTCTGTACATCTTAATCGACACAATATTTTAATTTTAATTTTCAAAAATTATATGCTAAAATATTTTAACACTTATAGGAAATTCTTTTTTGATAAGATTTATGGAAGATGATCAATTCATCAAATCTATTCCAATTTAATCATTCTTCTTTACTGTATTTTATATTTCAACACAATTTTATTGTGTTTTTAATAATTTCCATTTCATTTATTTTTTATAATTTTATTATTTTTATATTTTTATTATTTCTTAGATACAATTTCTGAAAGAATTTTTCACAAAAAAATACAGAATACATTGCCAAGCTCTCATAATCGATCATAAGATGATATTATGTCGATGTCCTTCGCAAACAGGTAAAAAAATATCTGCGTCATGTCAAATAATGTAATTTCATAGATGTTGATTAGAATTTTCGTTCTACGCAAAAAAATCTTCGTTCATCATTATTGCAATATCGCCGAAGGCCTCTTGCGAATCGTGCATGTGAATTTACTGTTTTTTAATCAAGAGCACGAAAATAGCACTAGGGAAGACTTAATCAGCCTGTCTAACGTGAGTGGATGAAAGGAGGTTCTATCTGATTTGAATAGAACGACGCTGGGATGAGGCTTCGGTAAGGTCACCCAGCAAGATCTTGTCTATACTGAATTACACGATCGTCAATTCCACGTCATGAATACACTATATCGACCAAATAATACTGACTCATCGAAAAGTAATTCTCTGTTTATATAATTATATATTGTTCTATATAATGACGTTAGTAGAATTATCCACTTTTGGCACGTGTACCTAATAAGATTAGATCATCTTAAAATAATCATCTTAAAATAAATATTTCAATCAAATTCAATAATTGCTTTAAAAAATTATATATAAATTATTAATCTCTTAATAAATTAGTATATATATGTTTGATTTTTTTCAGATATTTTAGAATATATATAATATTTCTTATTTTATCTAATTATTTAATATTCTTAATTATTTAATATTATTTAATATTCTTAAATATATTTTAAATAAATATAATAAATGAAAGAACAAATATGCAGAATTATATTTTGCATCTCAATAAAAATTAATACTCGTTATTTTCAAAAAGATTAAAGGATTAATTAATAATTTTTAGAAATTATAAAAATAAAAATCTGAAATTCATCAGTTTTAATTTGATAATTCTGATATTGGATAGTGATAATAAGAATTGAAAAATAAAGTCAGTGAGTATAGTCTTGTCTACCTGGGTGGTTTGCAACATGACAAAAATAATTGAATCAGCATATATCTAGTCCAGTACACGTACCTCGCGTTCCTGTTATCTCGACGAAGTGCATCTTACAAAGTGGTTTCACTTTATCATTGGCTCTCACTCGCGTGTTTCGCATCGGTTATTTATGTCCAATGATGAGCGAAGAGAAACCTTCGTCGAGGTCGCTCTCGCGCGTCGAATTTTCAATTAGATTTGCATAATGACCGTTTAAAAGATACTCTAGCTGGCTTGCTAGGGTGAAAATTGAATTTACACAAGCAGTTACGTTCTCACTTTGCAAATTGCAATATCTCTCACGATAGAAAATCGATTATACGAAGAATGGGAAGAAATGATTTATTATGATTAAAATATAATAACAGTTGAATTTTCATTTTCAACAAAAAAAAATTATAAAGAAGATATTTAAAAAAATACATAGTTTTAATGTACATTTATAAAAAGAGTAATATATATATAGAATCATTAAAAATCAGCAATCGATAGCAACTTCATTATTTCCTCTTTCTAACATTGATAACGAATCAATGTTATAAATTATTCATTTGATAATCAGAAATGCACAATGAACTATAAAATTTCATGAATAGTTTACCAATGTAACAATTTCGAAAACTGAAAATGTTTAACCAGAAAGCAAATTTAATCGAATAAATACTCATAAAACCGTAACAATATTATTAAACAAGTTCGAGTAAATTTCTAATGTAAATTTCATTCGCTCATGTATACTCGTTTAATGAAGAATCATTAAAATCAGCCATTATATCGAATCGATAATAATAAAAATTGAAAACTACAGATTATTTTAATCATAAATATATAAGAAAAAAGAAAGATTGGATCAGAAGATCCAACTTAAATATTATAAAATATGATCCATCAAGTTCCAAATTTTCTATCTATATAATAGACTGATAAGTCACGCGACCAATATAGATAGATAGTAATTTTAAATTTTCTATTATACCATTTTCTTTCCGGTTCACTCTGTTTCGATCTACGGATAGATATACTCAAACTACAGATCGTACAAATGGGATTGTTGCGTTGTGCAATTGCAGCAGTAGTAAATCCTTCGAGATTCCGGATAAAGGTTGTTCTCCATACGATCATCATCATGCTACACCAGTCAATAGACTGTTATTTACGGGTCATGGAGTGCTATGTAATACCCACAAGAGTCAGGTTCAGGTGGAAAGGTCGTTTTCACGTACCTCACTTTTCACTCACCGGAACAATTAAATGTAGGATATCGCAAGAATCGCGTTTTCGATTTAAGCTGACATGGACGATGTATAACTTCGATTTCTCGGTGTCCTTTAGAAGAGACTTTTAGTTTTAAAATTTCATTATTTTCAATCTTTGATGTTGCATCTTACTGTGAATAACCAATTCACATCGTTCTATTATGACGATTTATTTCTTTTTATATAGATATACTATTTATAGCAAAATTGGTTTATTTATTTTAACGATATATCTTAGACACTATCACATGTACATGCAAATGTACAGATGTTCATGCATTAATAGAAAATTTAAATATACAAAACATTTTAGAAGATTTGTACATAATATGCAAAAATATAAAAATATTATAAGAAAAGCATACATTGTTATTTAATATAACATAGTATTCAATAAATGAATGAAATATTTATTTAAATTCTATTTATTTCATTCATGAATTTCATATTTATTTGTATATGATGCAGATTATTATAGATAATACCAGATTAAGAGAGAATTCAGAATTAAAAAGAATTTTTGATATAATAAATATAATTATTGAAATAAAAAAAATATATCAAATATAATTTATTAGAATGACTTATTCGTTAATTTTCCTATATTAATTTAGCATATGTACGTATATTACTTAGATTTATTGCGAAATAAATAAAACGATCTAAGCGAACTCAACATATGTATTTATATCATTCATGGATAATGAAAGACAAAATTGATGAATGTCGTGTTCACTAAGTCATTGATATCGCTATCTGGCAGAAATATGTGGAGAAGTTCTCGGTCAGGTAGTCGAATGCAAACGAAGTTATTACGGATAATTTGCATAATGGGATTTTAATCTGTAGACATGTCGAGGATCGAGCTTGGTGACACCTTATTGGTGCATAAAAGCATGCAAGGTATTAATCACCTGTTCTCCGAACGAACAGCTGTTCAATGAAAAACATAAATTTCCATTCGCTCTTAATAAATCAAACTATTATTTCAACTGTACCTATATCGTATTTTCTCGTAAAATAATATCTCTAAATCAACAAGTTTCACTTAAGAATTTTTCTCAAAATTAAATAACATTTTCCAAACGATTAATCATTTTTTCTATGACAATTGACTCTCCACACTTGCAATAAATCTTCATCTTTATTTCTCTTCTCTCTCCCTTATATTAATCTGCTCATTATAGATATTCGAAAATTTCCAAAAATACCCGAGCTGAATGACTCTCGACATCGTTTCCACTGGAAAAACGATATAATAAGCGAGTAGAGATGTGTGACGCAGCTGCGACACGAAGCAGTTTTGCGATTGAAATCGTGAAAGGCGGGCGACTTCCCGCTTCGGCGTGGAGTGACGAAACAGCCCCGTTGACCGACATTGCCAGAGCACGTGTCGAGCGCGTCGACAACCGACCAACGTTCCAGGCCAGCGATGAAATTCGAGAAAAAAAGGGAAAGTGAGAGGGAAAAAGCTTCGCAGGAAATCGGGGAAGGGAGAATACGGGGGAGGCGCGAGAATTGGCCGAAAATTGTGTGGATTTTCGAGTGTTTCGGGGACGATGTGCGAGGAGGAACGACTTTGTTCGTGCAGGGCGCCGTGGCGTCGCGCCGGCAGGCTTCGAGCCAATGCGCTGTGAAAATGCCCGGGTGGGAAAGGGTGGATCGGGGGTGGCGCGCAAGCGTCGTCGTGGTATCGACGCTTCGACTCCCGGGCCGAGGGAAAGAAGCGGATTCAGACGGTAGTAGTAAAGCCTAGCTCGGGTCGGCCGAGCGCAAATGTGCGCTCTACGTGGTGACAGCCGCGTCTCGTTCGAGCTGCTCTCATCTGAGATCTCGTTGCCAGATCACAAAGAACGTGATTCTGAGGTTCAACGTTCGATCGTTGAATCGGAGGGAGAGATGCGTCCGGCGTGATGGGCGAACGAAGAAACCGTGAAGGGTAGAGAACGTCTCTACCACAAGTGTGAACATCCCCTTGGTTTCAGTGTGTGCCTCCATCGTTCTGTTTCTATCTCGTTCGTTCGGCCTGTCTCTCTCGTTCTGTGCCTCTGTCTGCCTGTTCTCTCTGTTCTTTCGCTGTGCTTTCTGTCCTGGTCTCACACACACACACATACACATATACACACACAAACGTGTCTCTACCTCTTTCTCACACTTTCTGGTCGTCATCATCTCTTTTTCGAGATCGAGGTGGTAAAAGTGGCGCGAGCACGGGCAGACCCAGCCGAAGACTGGCAGCGTCCAAGGCACTGGCGGAGCTGGTGCACGAGATCAGGATGAAATCGAGGAGGTACGTGGTTCGATGGTCTCTTCAGCCGATTAATGCACAAATATCGGCCAAAGATGGCAGTGGCTAGGTCGCGAATCACGTTATCATTCATGTCGCGACAATCTTAAATGGACCAGATATTACATTCGCTATTCTCCTTCTCTCGCTCCTCATTCATGTGCTACCTTTTCTTCATGTGTTCCGACTGTTCACCCTGTACTTGTGCTAGCAGATAGCCTATGTCGCGCGCGTGGTACCTTTCTGTGTTCTCAATCGACGATTTCGTTTGCTTCAGAACTACGTGATTCTAGTTTTCCTCGCGCTAAATCATCCAAAATCTCGAGATTGCTCGATAACATCGAACGGCGGGAACGCGGAGAAGGTTAAGTCTCATTTGCATTTTTCAAGATCACCAATATTCATCCTTTCGATTTTATTATTCGATGGATACGGGAAAAGGAGATGGAACGATCGAATAATGAAATCATTTATCTGTGATCAAAAGTAAATGAATATCGAGATAGAAATTCCATAGATACAATGCATATTCTCTTTTTACGTTCCTCCTCGTTGTTGTTGCGTTTTCATCACGTCTCTCTCTCTCTCTCTCTTTCTCTTTCTCTTTAATACTCTTTAACAGTCTTTCTATCCCCTCTTACTCCTCTATTTCACTCCTTTCCATCTCTCTCTTTACACCCGCTTCCTCCACTTCCTCTAACTGAACTCTTTCATCCCCCTTTTCATAGTGTGGGCCACGTTCGGCTTCCTTTGATACATACTCGCACACATTTTTCCATGCACACACACACACACACACACACACACAGAACGCGCGCGCGCGCATACATCTGTTCGAAAATTGATGTCACGAGGCGAGGGGAGAGCGGAAAATACATAGATACACGTACATCGACGCCGGATGTACATTGACTCGGCTCCTATCTGTGTGCTCCCGTCAGCTTTCACGACATGCGCATCATTGGGCAAATATTCGGTTAACTAAACAAGGCAAACCACCCACGCCTCCATTCCCCTCTCGTTATACACGTATCCATGTACCGTGTACCATGCTTATATCGCGGTGTGACGCTAGTTACACATAGAAAAGCCAGCATCGCAACACGACCAATGTTTTTGCGAACCCTGGTTTATTCCTGCTCTGGCGATAATTGAAGAGCATCGCCAGAAATATACCATCGACGCGTTTTTCCTCTTTTTTTTTTTCTACCATCTTCCATCCGTTTTCCGTTCATTCGCCCCTTCTCGGTGCTCGTTTTGTCATCCACGTAAATTCGCATCGTCGAACAAGTTCACGAATGAACGATAACTGACAGATTTGACGTTCCTCGAATGTGATCGTTCAACTGGAAATTAAATAATAGGCAAAAAAAAAACGAGATATTGTGTTGAGCATGATATAGAGGAATTGGTATCGTTCGCGTGACGATAATTAAATGGCCCTCGAATTCTTAAAAAAATGTTTTCTTGTCGATACGCCTTTAATTCTTTGAAAGTATAAAAAAAATTCTAAATAAATCGATTAGTTATTTAAATTTTTCAAGGGAATGAAAAATATTTTATCATGCATATCGGAGTGCGATAATTTCTAAACCACTATGTTTCAAAGAGTTAAAACAATCGTGATTAGGTTTCATAGGAAGAGCTCTCGAAATAATTTGTTTTCTCTATTTATTTTCCTTTATATTTTCTCATTATTCATCCGTTCTAACCTAATATTTGAGATTGAAATGCGACAAAATTACTGGCACGCGATCAAGAAACGATTCGATTATCGAACACTTTTAATTTAATGCGCACTTCTTCGTTCATTTAAGTTTTCCTTTCTTTTCTACCTTTCTTCTTTTGTCTCGCTTTCTCTCAAACGAACGAAAACGATTCATTCGATATTTTTATCGCTCGCTAGAGCCAGATACCTGATTATGCGCCGGTTGGAACGCGTCCATAGGAATAAAGAATATCGATGAGGCGAATGAAATCCCTTGGTCCGGAAACTTTTCTCATTAATTGAGCCACTGTGTAAAAGCCGCCCTATGGAGGGTGTAATAACTTTTGCTATATAGAACAAAATTCAGAAAGCGGGACGGTAGCGATAACGTGATTTAAAGGTTTAATAAAGTCAGCCACGTAGATTAATTCGCTTTTGGACGGCGCGTGCACGAAAATGATTTGTGTGGCTTGATCGAAATCGCCTTGGGAATTGATTGCATTTCATTCTGTGTAAATTGTCCATTATCGTACGCCCATTGAATATTTTTCCACTTCGAAAGATTCAAAACGTAGAATATGCGATAAAAAATATTTAGAATTTCTGTGTGACATGTCTGATAAAAAAATTTTCGATTTTATTTTTCTTTCTTTCTCCTTTATTAAGTTATTAGATTCGCAATAAGAAGTGAAAAATTTCCATTTTCTGTTCTTTAAATATTTTTATATCTCTAAATGAAAGATAGTGAAAATATTTATAAGTTTCGAATAAAGTACAGTGAAATTGTTTCTTCATCTTTCTTTCTTCGTTTTTCTTATTGTATTTGCAAAACTGGAAAGTTTTCAAACTTGTAGGTTGAAAAGTATCGAAATGGTAAAAATACTTCCTCGTAAATGGTACTACTTTCCATTTGGTCGATATTATTACCTTCATATAAAAAAAAATTAACGGTTCATGTAATTTTCTTGACTTATTGTTATCTAGTCGATCAGTTAATAATATAATCGCAACTCACAAATTATAATGTGATTAGAAAAAATTATAAGTTCTATATGTAAGATGTAGATAATAAAATCATGTTAACATATCTTTAATCTTTTCTAAATTTTATCATAAATTTTTAATATTAACATATAGTTAATTTATAACACATTTCTTCGTCTTTATAATAAACAATTGAAAATAAAATAAAATTGAATCGGTGAGATAGTCTATCAATTTCTATCAAACTTTAAAAAAACGAAATTTCATATATTTTAATTTAATATAATAAAAATTGTTTTGTATTGAGATAATTATCAATTATAGTATCAAAAAATACTACAAAATAAATCCAATTAAATAATTATATTGCATATCTTGTTAACAATCTCCAAAGAAATAGTACCCTTCTACTTAACAACTTGTCCTGACTTTTGCTTGTCTTTTCTTCTGAGCTATTTTCATTGAGATTCTCATTAATCTTGAAAATCTAAAGCAGCTAAGTAAAGAATTCTTTTTACCTACTCCTTTTAGTTTGCTTTTGTATACCGTGTTCTATCAGCAAACTGAAAATAACAATTCCTTTGAAAAATAACGTTTTTAATCAAGATAGTGTAAAGATTTTCTTTATGATAAACGATAAGAATAACATAATCAGAAAAATCACGTATAGAAAAAAATCTAAATTTAATTTATTTTTGAACTTTATATTTAATAATTCTATCCGTGCAATAAATAACATATAAAAATATAACGCGGTGTAATTTTTCATAATGAGTCGAAACGACAGAATAATTATCTCTTTTTTTCTTTTTTGTATATATATATACCTGTATAGAACTTCGTTTTCCACACGATTTACTTTGAAACGACGTCGAGTGCACATGTACTCGGCCAAGGTATGATTTAAAGAATCTTGCTTCAGAACGAACCAGGTCTCCTTTTTCATTCATCTCGTGGAATTTGTTGAAAAATTCTGCATCTATTTTTACATATCAAACTGTATTTATAGAATTTGAAGACGCAATACAAACGTGGACCGAGTTTTGCAACTCTTCAAACGTTCCAACCATTTTCTCTCTTAATTGGGTACACTTTCTTTACTGTTCTCAGTTAAAAGAATACTATTCTTCGCGGGACAAGTTTCGCCGTTTCTCGTAACAAGCATGCTCGACAAGTTTTCAAATTTAAATCCCGTCGAAAACGGAACTCTCTTTGCGAAATAACATTATTCTCGGTTTAGCTATAATTTCTATTCGTATTCCTTATTTGGAATACTATATAAAATGGAAACAATGTATTTTGCCATTTTCTTTATCATTTTGAGAGATTTTTTCTATATCTTTTTTTTCTTTTTTTTCCAGCCCTAAATTTTCACGATTTACCTTCAAGTTTTATAAGTATCTTATAATCCATTTTCAGCGTTATACATAATTTAATATCTCTCATAATTATGCTAATTATTAGATAAAGATTATAAAAGTTGAAGGTAACTTCGAATATCTCATTAAAATGAAATATATGTAGAAAAATCATTATCTCGAAGGTTCTTCAAAATCAATGACATAAATTTTTAATCAGCATATTAATAAAAATAATTAATAAAAATATTTTCATGTTATTTATTATATTAAATCAAATTTATGCAGAAATTTATTATTATTTATTAAAGATTTTAGAATTTCAATATCAATTATTAAATATTTCTATTATCTTTAATATTAATATATTTTTATTATTAATTAATATATTATTTTCGATATTATTATCAATATAGTTTAGATATTTAAATAATATGATACAAAAATAATACGAATAATTAATTTTCCATCTACTATTATCAAACAGAAAAATATGGAAAAAAGAAAGACCTTTTCGTGATCGTGTCACGTGCCATTGAAGACCGTTGACGATAAGACATTTACAAGGTAACAAGGAAAACGACAGAAGTAAATCTTTACGTGATTTTTAAATCCGAGGTCGAGGCTTCATTAAGCCCTAAGTTTTTATATAAGAGACTTGACATGTTCGATGACCATCACCGAATGAATGCGCAGAAATTTGCTTAACTCGAGCTTTCATCAACAAGATTTTCGTTTGATTCCAATCGCGAATCATTGACTTATTGCATTTTATCAATAATATAATATTCTGGATATACACTGTCTATTTTAAAAACAGCAATAATTTTCATGTTCAGGGTTACTATAGATCACTTTATTTCAGTTCAAACTAATCTAGATAAAGAGCATGATAACAGAATGAAAGAAGCATTGAAAATATGAACTATTCACACTTTTTATTAGCGTATAAAAAGTATTTATAGAGTTGAATATATTTTATTTAGATTTTTATCAAGTTTAATTCTTCATAATTAAATATTAACACTGAACAGAATTAAGAAGAATTTTTGTTGGATATAGAATAGATGAAAGATTATTGTTTCTTAATTTCGAATATTCCATAAAATTGAAATAAAAGAAGAAAGTTAAAAAAAATTAAAGTTTTAAAAATTTCGTAATTTTCAGAGTTTCGAATTTTTATTACCTTCTATTTTTAGAATTTAAATTAAATAAAATTTTAAATTAAAAACAAAGAAAGATGTAAAGTTTTAATTACTTTTTTTTTAACTCTTTTTAGTATCTTAGAATTTATAATTATAGATGGGAAATTTCATTTCTGAATATCTTTATTACTATTTCAATTGTTATCGAAAAAATTTAATGGATAAATAAAGAATTTAATGAAAAATATCTCAAAAATTTTGGAATTCTAAAGTATTTAAAAAACTACATATAAAAAAAAAACCATGAAGAAATATTATTTTATAAAGTGTTAAAATTCATCGTAAATAAATTAATCTTTTAATTTTTTATTTTAAATTGACTAATACTATCAATACTAAATTTTACCAATTTTTATTTATAAAAATTTTGTTAACAAAATATTTGATTGACATTTATTTTCTACAATCAATATTATGAAATATTATACAACATGAACGTTTGCTTTACGTCAATTTGATTGACTACATCAGAGAATATTCTGTATAGTGTAGAACGATGCTCGAGGGGATGATTGTCTTGCGAAGAACGCGTTCTCGCTATCGCAATGTCTTCTTTGTCTGTATGCACTCATGGTTTACGAGGCGAGGTTAACGATCGTCGCGTTAGTACTTGAAACGAAAGATTGCTTTAACGACGTTTATCTTACGATGGAGAATACGAGCAGTGGATACGATGATTTTCTATAGCGTATATAAGAATAAGGCTTTTAATTGGAACAAGAGTGTCTTCGTTACGTATATTTTTAGAATCTTGCGAAGACTGCAATATCGAGGATAATTTAATGACGTTTATCTTGAGATAATTGCAGATTGTTAGTATAAACCAGACTTGGATAGATTTTAATTGACATAAAAGTAATGAATAACGATTTGAGAAAATGGATTGTTTCGATTTATTATTTATATTATGATATAATATTTTTATATTTATGTCATTTTATATTTATATATTAATATTATGGAAATAATATAAATAAAGTAGCTTTGTCTTAAATTGAAGTTATATATATCATTTTCAAATAAATATTTTATTTCAAAAATTATATAGAAAAACAGCATTTTAAATGAACATTAAATAAATTAAATAATTATTACATTTGAATTAATTTATTCTGAAATAAAATTTTTATTATAATCTTGTGATATTATTTTAAATCTCTCATTTATTTTAGCTATCCCTATTTATTCACTAATTATTTTAAATAATTCTATTATAATTTTTTAAATTATAAATGTTTTTAAGAATATATAAAAAAATATAAAAATATATTAGGATAATATATACTTTCCTTGTCAAACATCTGCAAATAACATTCAAACATGCACATACTCTACCATTCTTTAAAATAACAAACACTTCTTGTATTAAATTCCAACTCAAGTCACGCGATGACAATTTGAAAATGAAATTAATACTACACTGTTCAAACAAACACCTTCAAACAATAACAACAATATTCTTGCACGATTTTTCTACTCGAATTATTTATTTCGTATTCGATAATTGATCGATCAAATATTCCAAACAAAATATATAGAAGTTCCTCTTTAATTTGGCGATAGTTACCTACGTGATGCTTCATAAAACAGGCCTCCATTCAGGATCGACTCGGTTGAATTATGAATGACGGTCGATAGCTAGAGGGAGAACGCGTGTACTGGTCATGTGAGTTTCACCTGGCTTATATGGCTCTCGTAAGAATGTGTACGAAAAAAAGAACGACTATTGATGCCCAACTTTCACTGCTTTTCACCCTTTCCTATTATCCGAACAATCTATTCTCTTGGATTCAATTCGTGTACTCCACTTCCAAAATACATCAATTCTATGCTTTGAAATCGAGATGTATGCGTGTATAAAAGATGGTGAGTGAATAAAATTTTCCAGTGTAAACATGGAAAAGCTGATGTGAGATGTGAAACGACATCATGTATCAACGTCCATGATTGTAAAAAGGATTGTAACGTTTTTACTGGTTTGAAAGGGATCGTAAAAGAGTTTATTTAGTTACAGTTATAATTTTAGAATCCGAATCTTTTATATCGTTTGAAAAATAGTACATGATATTTTTTAAAATCATATCCTTTGTTTTTTTTTAATAAAGAATTCCGTCAAATCTAATTTATTAATGGATTATTGGAATATAATTCGAATATAATCGAAGATTGGAAAAAATTTTTATTTTATTCGTCGTTTATTAAACTTATCGGTTATTCCTTCCCCCTTTTTTCGCCAGTGTGCTGATTGCCTGATTGTTTTGATTCCGCGATGTTTGAAATAGATCGAATAATTACACTTTCTTATGCATTCAATTAATAAACCCGATATCCGATACCGATTTTAACTTCGATGGATTTTATTCGTTTCAAAGAAATTGCCTTATATAAATATTCATTTCTTTTCCTCCTATGTATCCAACTTTCGAAATCAATTTTCTAACTAATCAAATCATTTCATTAAATATAGTATATAAACTACTTCTTTTAGTGGTTAAAAAAAACGAATATAGAAGCATCGAATTTCTTCATCAAAGTTCTTCATTCTTCAGCTCGTCGTTTGTACCTTCGATTCTTATGCATTTCATCACGCCATCATCGTTCTTGCAGTCATCGTCTGGTCCTCTCATCAGTTCAGCATCTCGTGATACTCCTATAAATTAAAATGAGACGTCAATAAATTCTACTCTCTGCTTCCAGCAATATAGCTGTATTGATTCTCCATCAAAATCGTCGAAGTTACAAGGTCGTTAGAAAAGATACGTTCGCATAAAGATCTCAGGCAAAGTTTATCGTTACTGGTGGAGGATTGACAGCCTCCGGCAGGGCAAGTCTCGAGGCGAAAGATTTCGAGAAAGTGAAGGAGTGGACCAGGTGCGAGCTACCAGGAGAGCCTGGCACCTGGCTGTTTAGTGGCTGTTGATAAAGGGGGGGTGACGGGTAACAGCACCTAAGGGCGGGTGGGGGGATGCAGCTCGAAAGGGTGGCGGCATGGAGGAGCCCTCGCTGGAGGCTCTCATGCAGGCGGGCCTCATCTTCGTGGTCGGTGTCGCCATCATCCTCTCGAATCTCCTCATCATCGCCACCTACCTTAATTTCCGTGGTAAGTACTTTAACATCTTGATATTCTTGGTAATTTTTGCGAAAATTATTTATTTTTCTTAAATAAAAAGAAATTGCATTCTATTTTTGGAATTTAATTGGAAAATCATAAGTATTCTTAAATTATACGTGTTATTATTGATTTTTGACATATATATATATATATATATATATATATATATTGATTTTACATATTGCATCAAGATATAGATAGACTTGTTTCTTAAAAAACAATATTTTTCTTTTTCTTTTATAAACAATGTATGTAACTTTTTCTTTTAATTTATATCTTTATTAAGTAATTTAATATTTATTATATTTCATACTTTTCCAAATTATTAATTATTTTTAATTTCAAAATCTTTTTACAAATTTATATTAATCATTATTATATAATATCCATAGATTCAAACATTTACTTTTTTTTAACATAATCAATATTCTAATATAATATTAATAGTTTTAATATAATTATAATATAAATAAATATTCTAAAATTCAAATTCATTATCTTGAAATATAATCCTACTACTTCATCATGCCACAACTTTTTCTTTTTTTTCATCCTTGCGGATTTTTTTTTTTAATTTTCTGACTCTGTCACCACAGAGCAGTGAAAAAAGCAACGAATACTGTAACATTCGGTGAAATGTGGTTCACACTCGAGATAAATACAAATGAGCATCACACCGCACAGGTCCCTCCGAGGTGATAAACTACTACTTGCTGTCTCTCGCGTCGGCGGATCTTCTTTGTGGTCTGCTGGTGGTTCCGCTTTCGGTGTATCCGGCGCTGGTACGAAGATGGGTCTACGGGGACATCGTGTGTCGTCTCGTTGGCTATTTGGAAGTTACTCTCTGGGCGGTATCCGTTTACACCTTCATGTGGATCTCCGTCGATCGGTATTTGGCTATCAGGTACGTTTCAATTTCTTTCATTCTTTTCTATAAAGCTATGTTCAAAAATTTTTGGATATTTATTATATTTTTTATAGAAGAAATATGAAAAACAAAATTAAACGAGATGTTCAAGTAGAATTTGAAAAGAACATTCAATGAACAACATGAATATAAAACATTTTTGTTTTATTTAAAATATATTAAATAATGTATACGATGATTAAATATTTCTTTAATATTATTTATAATCTAATAACGCCCTACAGCAATATAATACATCTTAGTTTAACATATGTTCAACATATAGAGCAATAAAATAAATTCAAGTTGGAGCGATAATCAATATCAAGATAATAGGTAAATTGAAATCTCAACAATCTTCGTCAAATTTTCTAATTCATTCCATCTTCATCGATCAACAACTTACACACACATACACGAATGATCCATTATTCACTAGAACTTCAACTCTATATCCTTGACTCTTTATTTCTCCATGTATTATAAACTCAATCATAACCCTCAACTTTCTCCAACGTTCAAGTCCAACGTCAACCAATATCACAAATAAAATTAAAATTGAGTCTCGATCCTGGAAATTGACTGGAATTTACGTTTAAATCGAGTTCATGATTAAAGTATCGATTCGACAGGAAACCATTGCGTTACGAGACCGTGCAGACGAAGACCCGATGCCAATGCTGGATGGTCTTCACGTGGATCAGCGTGGCGATGATGTGCTGCCCGCCCCTCCTAGGTTTCCAAAAGCCGATTTTCGACCGGGAGGCGTTCATCTGCATGCTCGACTGGGGCAACATGGCTGCTTACACCATCACACTGTCGATCCTCGTGCTAGGCCCATCGGTCATCACCATCGTCTACACTTACTGCTACATCTTCACTATGATGAGGCGGCTAAGATCCGGCGTACTGATACACGACAAGGAGTACGCGACCGCGCTCTCGGAAAACCTGAGCAATCCGAGTCACATCATGTCCTTTGTCCTGGTGATGGCTTTCTGGGTATCCTGGGCACCGTATGCCGGTCTCCGGATATACGCTGTCGTTAACGGACCGCCGCAGGTAATTTAAATGTCAAGCTCTTTTTGTGAATATGCGAGGAAGTATGCGAGAAAGATCAGTTTTTATATGTTAATATGAGAAATCGTATTTATTCTCTTTGAAAGGTAGATTTCGCATAAAAATTTCATAACACATTGGTTCAAAGAGTATATTTTCTATTTAAAATCGAAAATCGTATTATTCGTGGATTAAATATGAAAATTTATATGTAACCAGATACAAACTAAATTATTGTTTTTCTTTCTTTATTATTATTTTTTTTTTAATCAATTATAGAGCAAAAAGCTTTTCATCAAATTTTTGAAAAAAAGTTTAAAAATATCAAGTTAAAAAGTTTTAAAGTGAGATTATTAAGAAATTTATTTTTCTGTGTTATTTAAATTTAAAGAACTTATTACGATAATACAAATATCTAATAAATTATATTGTACAATCTCACTGACTTTTTATAGTATATTGAAATGTAAATATTTAATGATTAATAAATTATCTTATATGATATCCGGTTTGTATTATATCACGATTGGATAATAAATATCACTCATAAAATTTGTATAAATGTCGAGGTAAATCTTGACAAAACATTCATTTATAATAAATTACAATAAATTTAAATATACAATAAAAATAAACTAAAATATCTTTATTCAAATTAAATTAATACTTGGAAATTTGAGAATCATTTTTAAATATTAAATATTAAATATTTTATAAATATAAATTTCTCAAAATAATGGAACAAATGATAATCACGACATATCATCAAATATTTCAATTTATTCGCATAATATCGTCGTCACATTCCAGGTACCGTTTCTTCATTTCGCGGTAGTGTGGCTGGGGGTGACGAACAGTTTCTGGAAAGCGGTGGTCCTCGGAACCCTGAGCCCGCAGTTTCGATTGGCGGCTCGCGTGCTCTGTCTGACGTTGTGCTGCCGGCATAGACGACTTCCGCCCGAGCTGCTCGGCCTCGACGACGACGATTAAACGCCAAACGCCTACAAGAACAAGAGGGGAAACGCTTTCCTTTTGCGCGCGAGCGTTTTACAACACGCGCCCCATTCCTAGAGCATCGCTTTTCATCTCACGGTATTCGAGATCGTTTCTTGCATCCGCCACCGTTCTCTCGGAGTCCTCTTCGGAGGCTGAGACTGAGATTCTTTGTTCCGAAAAGTACTACCACGACGTCCACGATGACAAACGTGTGATCGATCCAGTCGGATTTCCAAAATGTGGGGTAAATTTTAGGAAAATTATTTATAAAATAAGAATTCTTGTCAACGAATGTTCGATAAACGAACGATCGAAGATTAAAGGAAAGAATTCCTTTTTTTTTTTGACCGTTGACATTTGAAAACTTCATCTTCACTCTATCTTCAATTCATCTATTAGATTGATGTATATAAAATGTCATTTTTTTTCTTTTTTATTTTTATCGAATTTTATGTCGAATAGAATAATTAAATAATTGGTAGAATTTTAATTTTTTTTCAAAATGATTTGTAAAATGTCAGTTCTAATAATTATTAATTATTAAAACGTTATCTGATGAAAATAAAGGATAATAAATAATTTGTAAAAATATTTTCTTCAAATGTTTCTATACGTATTTTCAGTTTTTTGTTTTAAAAAAACTTATTAAATACAATGATAAAAAAGAAACTAATATGTTACTCTGAAGAAATGACATTTCATATATAAGCATCAATTTATCATTTCAATTGAAACTGTTTATCATTCTTACTAAATGGAAAACGAATTTTCAACTAAGCATGATTTCAGCCAAGTATAATAAAATAAATTTCTCTCTAAAATGAATGAGCAGTCAACCACAATAATAAACTTCGAAAAAACTAAAGATTTTTGTCAACGGAATTATCTTTTATCATTAAACGTGTTCAATTCAATCCGAATCGTATATTCACGCGTGTTAATCAAGAATCTAATAAAAAGAGAAAAGAAATTAAGAAACCAGACAGAAAAGAAAATTAAAAAACATAGATTCATCACTTCTTTAAACTATTCATATCACCTATAAAGAAATCGCATAATTCCTTTTTCTATACAATTTCAATTTAAATAATCAATTATACGTATATTACATATATACATGTACAAACTTTTAATTTATTATTAAAAAAAAATTTTCTTTAATTCGATAAAACGCGAAGAAAGAAGCATGAAGTACAGTTCAAAGAAATCGAAGCTCAGTTTGACGAAGATTCTCGATAGGAATGCTATCTTCACTAGCAAATACGTCGATCTAACTTCCTCTTCGAGGTTAGAAATTTCCTTTCGACGACGTTTCCATTCGACATGAATCGCTATAATTGATTAAATCGCGGCGACGCTCTGTTTATCTCCCTTTTTTTTGCTTTTTCTTCTTCTTCCGCGAAACGCTCTCGAGAGAAAAATCGACGAAATGCGGAGAGCTCGCGCGTTCCTCTCCTCTCCGTCGTTTCGTGAGAGCATTCCCGACGGAAACTGATCGTTGCCTACATTACATGTATCTACGTGGTAAGATCAAGCTCAAAACAAGTATCTTAGCCAGTCGAGATAAAAAAGAAAAAAAAGAAAAAGAAAAAAAGTAACGTATAAATAGATAATCGGGGGACGAACGATTTGCTTGCGATCACGTTAATGTGATTACATGGATATCGATCGAAAAAAAAGTGTATGAAAGAAGAATGATAAAAACAGGACGCAAAATAATAAGAGAATACTAGGTCAATTAACGGAGATGCCTCTACGGAATGCGACGCCGCATCTATTTGCGCGCCAGTAGAATGCCCAATGTGAAATTGAGAACTCGAGGATGGGGTTCCGATCGCCATGGTTATATGCTTTTTTTTTTAATAACGCGCTTCCTCCTCTACTCGGCCATTCGATCGGAATTCTTTCCACTCTCTCTCTTTCTAATTTTTAATCAACAACGAGTGACAGGTTTATTTTGTCTATTTTTTTATTCTAACTTTTTTAACTTTTTGTTTGAGGAATAATAACATTGTGAATAAAATATAGAATTGCTTGTACATTTATGAAAATTTACATTTGATTGGAAATATATAAAATTCATAGTATGCAAAGCATTTGGGTCATTATAAGATCATTCAATGAATGAAAGGAATTTCTATTTAAATTTCATTTATTTAATTATATTTATAAAAATCTGTAGTCTGCTTCTTAGAATTTTTGAAAAGTTAAATAACATTTTTCATAATTATTCTTTTTTTTTAAATTTTATTTATTAACATATATTAGTTCTTTAATGGAAAAAAAGAAAAAATTCAAAGATTACTTTTACAGAGATGAGAAATATTTAAATATTTAATATTTAATTTGCTTTAAGATTAAGCAGTTAATTTTTTCTAATTATTTTCCTTATTGTCATCAAATAAAATTCATGCATCTTTTCTTCTAATATTAATTCTAATATTAATTCTAATATTCTCTTGTACATGAACAAATAGTTTAATCTATTCAATTTTTCTCTTATAAATTTGTACAATTGTATAATTTTATAACGTTTCTCAATTTTTCTTTTAATGAAATTACCTCTATTTAAGAGAGAGTAATTTTTATTAAGAGAAAAACTATGAATCGAAAACATTTTATAGTTCAATTCTAGATTTGCTTCTAAAAAAAAAAAAAAGAAAAATTTACACGCATAAGATTCCAAATATTGTTAAATATTAAAATTAGATACAAATCAAGAATTTCTATCATATATAAGATCAAATTCTAATCAAAATAATTATTAAATTTTCATCATTCATCGCGTCAAGAAACATCGAACGACCGATAGCGATAAAAATTAATTGAATAAAGGCTAATTGAATAAAAAAGTACAAATTCATTTAAGAACTACTTTCGACATTTATTGTCACTAACTATTTTGAGAGTGAAAGTCACTATCGGACAATCACTTCCAACGCAGTATCCATTTACGAAAAATATTTTCGAGAGTTTTACTCTCAAATGTATTCGCATTCTAAGAAATTATGAAAGAGCCATAGGTGAAAAAAATAATAAATTCGTTGTAAAATTATTGGACGAAGGATCGCTGATAAAGTCGAATCACTTCGTGGTGATACTCTATTATTCCATAAATTTCCTCTCGAAACTTCGCATCGTATTCGAGATAGGAATTTAATTTAAAGATCTTCTTATTCGAGTTTTTATTCAAATCGACAAGAAACGCGATATAAAACGGACAAAAACTTGGAGAAAACATTTTCCGTGGGTGGAGAGAAAGCAACGGCTATTAATAAAACGCGCGGTTCATTTATAAACCGGACCGTTTCTGTAGCAAATAAACTCAGCTGTTCAAGTAGCGCAGTTACGAATGTTGCATGGCTAACGCTTTTATGTAACGAAACTCTGCATGACGTTTCCGTGACGGAGATATTTATGCCTTGCTCTAAACGTTGTATGCGTTATATGTAATTGTCGATGAAAAGATGCGTGTAATTAAGTGTTCCGTTGGGGAAAATGTCGATGATTCTGTGACAGTTTCAGTGAAATCAAGTTGTATTATATGAAATGAAGGATTCGTAACAATAAGGACTCATGTTGATTTTTGTTTTTTTCTTTTTTTTGTTCAAAAGAACAAATAATTAAATTAAACTTTAGCAATTTTAATTTTTGTTCAAAAGATATAAAGATTTTTTCAATAAAATTATATATTATTTCAAAATTTTTTAGCGATATTAATTTTAAAAACGAAATGAAAAATATATATAAACTTTAAATGAATATTTTTTTAAAAATAATATTTCAATGGTAAGTACTTTAATTAATAAATTCTTCTCTGATAAAAAGTAAAAATTTATTTAAATTGAAAAAGACAAATATTTTATACATTACAGCTTAATAAATGTAACTGTTTGATCGATTAAATAATTGGAAAAAAATATAATAAATTGATATAGTCTGGGAAAAGAAGATGCTTTTTGCTTAAAAATAAATAGAATAATTTATCTAACGATTTATGAGAGATAAATACTTATGCTGTTATTTAATTACATTTATCTGAAATAAATAATAAAATAGATTTAGAAATTTGAAATACTTGTAAAGAATAATGTGTCACATGAAAGTTAAACTCTTTCATCGATTTGTGTATACGTTGTTCTCAAGGTTTAGAACGTTCTCAGAAGCAGACATAATATTGATTGAAACATAGGTTTTTGTTACGCATTCGATTGTACGACGAAAAAGAAAAAGAATTGTGTATTGAGCTAGATATTTGTATACATATCGTATACTAAGTAAGAAATAATCTAAATTTTTCATAGAAATTCTTCGCAGAAAACAAATTATCTTAAATAATAATTAATATTTTATACGTACACGATCAAATCTTAGAATAACTTCTATAATTGTACATATATTATTATTTTTGAACAAAATTTAAATTAATAAATAAATTCTATCCTGTTTTTTATAAAATATTACTTTAAAATAATTCTAATAATATAAACAACTTTTGATTCCTCGAACAACGAAAAAAATATTAAAAAAATGATTTTTTGGCAATAGAAAAATTTGAAAAGTTTCATTTAATTAAAAAAGAAAAGAAAAATGAAGAAAGAGAGAGAGAAAGAGAAAGAGAGAAGGAAAGATGGAGGGAAAAAGAGAAAGAAAAGCACAGGAAAATATTGTTCCCGTTATGCTACAAAATGCAATGCTCACATGCAAGCAGATGAGCAAGATCCTGAGATTTCTTGGATGATGAACATTAACCCTTTAAAAAGAAATCCAATACGCAAATCGGTGTCTAGAAAGTCTCAGCTTCTACTCTATTTTTTACTCTAGACTTCGTGTTTTACTAAATTATAAGGCTCTTCTGATAAAATAAAAATCGTAAAAGGACTACGAATACCATTAGATGCGCGACGGTAAATTTATCGTGCCATTTTGATATACCAAGCTATTAAATTAAAGGGTTAAGGTGCCCGGAGGTGCTCTGAAAACGCTGATATTAAGAAACGTCGAAACATTCTCTCGATAATTTATACGAATGCAAAATATCACGATAGCGGCCATTGTTCAATGGGGGGATAAATGGATTTAAAATAACGAGGGAACGGTTTGTCGATGTTTTGTCATGTTACGATGTTTTAACTATAGAACTGAATCAAAAAAAAATTTTTTGACTATGTTATAGTTGAAACATTAGCTATGTAAAACAATACCCCGACTAAAAAAAGAAAAAGCAAAGAAAGAAAATCTTTATTGATTGACGACTTGTTATTGAACGATTGTTTGGCAGATTTTAACGACAGTTGTACGATTTTTATCGTATTAATAATTTGCTATGAACGAACAACATGTCGTGCGAATTATTTGCCAGTGCGACGAGCCATGATATCGATATTTACAATTTTCCTGTGTACATGAAACATTTCTTTTTTTTAACAACCATTAATGACAAGATAGAATTTAATAAATAATATTGACT